AGTCATTGACTGCAAAGGATTTTCATTAAAATTATGGTTATATTTACAATTATGTCACTTTGTCCAAATACCTTTGAGCCCCTGAAAATGTAGGTACTTTGCTGAAAATGGCTGTAATTCCTAAATGGTAAATGCCATATTTTTGTGGAACCTCTTAAAATAAAGCTGAAAGTCTACACTTCGATCACATCTTGATTGTTTTATTTCAAATCCATTGTGGTGGTGTATAAAGGCAAAATCACAAAAACTCTGTCACTGTCCAAATACAGTTAGGATAAAGAACCTGATGCTGATATGCACTAAGCCTTCCTTGACAATTCTCTGATAAGCCTGCCATGTATTCACTGTAAAATTGCCTTTCCTTTAAACCATATCCCACTTTGCATGGCATCTATGGCAACCTGGTTATGATAAGAGTCCAGTGACTTCACACAGACATGCAGTTTTTTCCTGGTGTCATCATGTTTATGGTCTCTTTGACCCAAAATCACAAAAACACACACACAGACACACACACACAAGATGAGACATGATTACAGGCTTGTCACTCAAACTCAAGGCCCAATGAATCAGATTTTGAAAGCACAATATAAATATGTTTTGTCGCCTTCATATTACAAACAAAAGATATGCTAGGGTTTTAGATATATCTGTTCCTGGTCTACATGGTGTGAATATCAGGGTGTGCCCTGAATAACAAAGCTGGGTGGATCAGTCCTGAATCGAAGAGGAACAGCCGCAGTGCTGGTGGTATTGGAATTGGAAAGCACCCGAATGCTCGGCTGCTTGAGTCATTGGTCCTGTGGCCCAGTGGGCTGGAATGTCTTTCAGTCTGGATACAATTAAAACCAGAAATACAAGAATGCATTCCTACTCCTCCAGCCAACCACCATGGGGGGCAGTGCTCTGTAGCCCTCGGCTGTGTGTGTGTGTGAGCACTCTCGGAGCCACAATCTCTGCACAAAGAAGTGGTATCAGATTACCTCATGATCCATCACTTCGCTCAGAAAGGCATAAAATTCCATTTGAATCTGAAGTGCAAAGTGTGTGTATCAGCAAATAAAGTCAGTTTCATATTCACTGCAGAGAGATTGTGGATTCATGAATTAATATATTTTTGAGTTTGATGTGCTATGTGACATTTTTGCATGCTGGAATGTGTCCCAGGACAATACAGTACTGCTTTTGCCCTAAGGGGGGAGTTAGTTTCAGGCTGGATGTACTGCATGTGGACTCAATCTTGAGCTTCAGTGGTGTAGATCAGGTTAAATCACATTAAGTTAAATCACATTAATGTGATTTAACTTAATGCAGCTTAGGTTGTTGTGGCCGAGTGATTAAGGCGATGGACTAGAAATCCACTGGGGTCTACCTGTGCAGGTTTGAAGCCTGCTGACAACGACTAAACCCTTTAAAGCATTTCACTGCACACCGTACTGTGTATGCTTGTGTATCTGACCAATAATATTTGACTTTGAATATATACAGTACTCTGTACTCAGCATTTCTCAAAAAAAATCTTAGGCACATGCAAAGAAATGCTGTACAGCAAAGATGCCTCAAAATTAATGAAATTAAATGTTTCTACATCAAAAGAAATACTATAAAGAGCAGTAAACAGCAATAAATGAAACAAATTCAATATATTCAATATACTGTCAATATTTGATAGTCCTTTGCTTTAAAAAAATAGTAGTCTCAGGTACAATTTGTGCAGTTTCATAAGGAAATTAACTGGTAAGTTTTACTGAGCATCTTGCAGAACCAGCCACAGTTCTTTTACTTTGGTCTTTTACGTAATCTGCTGCTTTCTTTACTGACATAGAAACATTTTTCTGTAACATTTAATTTTGTGCTGGAAAACTAAAGTTTGGAAAATCTAACATGTTTTTGTACTGACTCGATAATGGAGAGGTCATAAAATAAAAATGTATAACAAGGTTTGTACTTAAAAAAATAGGGTGCCTAAGACTTTTGCACAGTAGTATATACGTATATAGCACTGTGCAAAAGTCTTAGGCACAGTAGCCAATAATTGTTTTCATAAAATAGTTTTATAGAATTTTCATTTCCAGTCAAACAAATGGCAAAACTGTGTAATTTTCTAAATCATTCTCATAAAAACCACATGGGGATTGTATACAAGGAAAAACCCATGAACACAGGGTAATGCTTTGGTGTTTTGCAGCATATAGCCCAGAGGATGAAGATTGATGCCATCATAAATTTCACAGATACCTGAGTATTTTAGCCCAGAGCTTGGATGCTTCTGCCAGGAGGTTAAGATTTAGCTACAGACAGAGTTTTCAACAAGATAATGACAGACATGCACCAAATCCATAAAGAAATGATTGACCAGCTCCATCTCTCAGTTTGAACTCTGTCGGAAATCTGTTGTCTGAATTAAAGAGGGAAGTCCACACGCACAAACCTAGGAATATAAAGAAGCTTGAACTGCAAACTGCATAGAGTGTTCCTTTACAAATGTCTCCAACCTTGTTCTTCATTTTCTGTATGAATTTTACCCCCCCTTTTTTTTTTAATAATTTGGAAATTACCACTACACCAATACAGTGAGATAAAATAAGACAATTATAAGGAAGTATAGAAGAATAAGATGTTACAGAGAGCTAAAAAATTACAAAATGCCAGCTGACTAGCCAGTTTTTTTTGGGCAGCATTAGCATACTTAGCAGATCAAACTGTCCTCCAAAATGTAAGTGAATTGCGTTGTATATAGATAGCTAACTGATATCTATTTACTGTTTTAATTAATGGATGTAAATTTTAACTATCTAGCATGATCTGACCTCAAAACTTAGCTACCTAGTGTGGCAAAATTAGCATCCCATAGTCCGGTTTTGCTTGATGTGTGCTGACACTTCAAGGTGTCCCGCACAAAATGCCCGCCATCGTTCCTTTTTGTTTAAGATGCAACCTTTGAATCATGGGGCTGCTACCTTCAGAATAGAAAGCACCTAAGTGCTGCTTTGAGTTTGTTTTCATGGTTTAATCCCACTAAAAACATAAAATGTGTGTGTTCCCTGTCCTTTCATATGAAGAAATCTCTCACTACAATTCAAACATAACGAACAAGCCTTTGTTCCGCTCTTCTCTTTACTGCTAAATCGTCATGCATGGTCCTGTGATGCACTGAAATTGGAAATACCCTGTCATGACATTTTATTTCACAGATTATCAGACAGACGAGCTTCATTTCACAGCCTTTCACTTCCCACTATAAAGACGTGGAAGCATAATATATGTATATAGTAGCTTGTTAATAAAACATGGCAGATACTCAGTTTGCTGACGGAGATGTAATTTGATAGAGGGGTGATTTGATGGTTAGCGACTTTGTAGACTCACTCTCGGTACATCTGACACTTTTTAATGCTGCTTTCTTGTTTTAAAGCTTACTGAAGTACTTGCTTCATTGCACATGTACACACACACACAGGAGACTGGTTTCAATCACCATAAACTCACACCACTCTACTGAGTGGCTGCAGAGGCACCAGTAAAGAGGTAAAGGTCACTGGGCCAGACTGAGTAATAAATCGACATCATGTCATCCCACTGTTCAGCCCACGCCTGGCATACACAACTCATCTCTCTATACAGGCGTATGTGTGTCGGCTTCCAAACTAACGAAATGTTATCCGGACTGCAACAGCTGACCCGCTCGATCCTGTTTCAGGAGACCCAAATATGTCATCCATGAGGGGAATGAACAGCAAATGAGGCACAAATGCTGTCTATAGAGTATCAAGAGCAAGGGCACGTCTTTCCTTTTCTCTTGTAATAACTCGGCAATCAGGGGTTTGATGGTACCTCAGGTAGGTTCACAGATTCATCAGATATATTTTAAGATTTTTCTTAAAATTTTTGATGTTTTTTTCCTCAGCCAACAGCTCACACTTTACATGTAATCCTATGGGAAGCTTGCAAAAAGTGTTTTGATTTTTTTTTTTTTTATCACAGTGGTTTTCATCAAAGTTAGAAAAAAATGGACAATTTTTCAGAAAAATGCTGAGTGACGTCAAGCACTTTTGAACCTCCAGACCAAACAGGTAGCAAGTTGGATGGCAAGCAAGAAAAACAAACATGGAGGACAAAGTGCTGGTGAAAAAAATATTGTCTTTATACTGACCATATATAAGGAGACTTACAACATTTCAAAAATATTTCATTGGCAATATTCTGATGTTGCAATATAACAAAAAATAAAGTCTATTTTTTGGAAATGCACCAGTATGTGATATGATGTCCCAATTTACCCATACCTGTTGAACAAGCAACTGCATTTCTCTTGATTTTCTGCCTTCAAAACTACAGCGAACGCAAACAACCTCCTCATCGCCAGAGTTACACCAATCTTTATGGCTCCTGAGTGGTGCAACAGAAAAATGTCCACCCTAACATTGGGAGATTGTGAGTTTGAAGCTTGATGATGCCATAGCCATCTGTGGCCGGGAGCCAAGGGAACAAAATTGACTGGACTCTCTGGGTGGGAAGCATGTCATACTCTTTGTCCTGTTAATCATAGTGACACTAGCCAATTGTGGGTGTCTGTGAGATCATGTATGTGGAAGAGGGTAGATAACAATTTCCTCTGAGCGTGTTACAGCATGAGCAGCAGTCCGAAAATATCTGGTTGGCTGGCTTCATGTGTCTTGGAGGAAGCCACATGTCTGGGTGTTAGCTTTCACCCTCCCTGGTTGGTAGCTGCTGTCTGATAGTGAAGAGCTGGCTGGTGGGAGGGAACTGGCAGGTGACCAAAATGGCAAGGAAAAAAAAAATCTTTATTTCATTTTTATTATGTGATAATAATAAATGTAATATAGATAGCAAACTAGGCTAGCTAATTGGCTGATTCTATCTGGTAGATTCTATCTACTGTTATAGTTATTATATTTTTCCACATCAGCACAGAAGTGCTCATTTTTCTGAAAGAAAAATTGTGAGAAAAAGTGTGAGAGCGGCCTTAGTGAGACAGGCTGTTATATAATACTCAGTAAAACCTGTGAGCCTTATATATTTCAACAATAAACCTTGACTTATGGGAACTAGTTGAAAGGGAAGTGGGTACAGACAGCATGTCTGATGGTATGTATATGAAGGTGACCAGTCCACTTATCATCCCAGAACATCTGCCAATGATTTTAAAAAAGCTAGCGGGATCACCTCTAGCAACCCATCAGGCTTCGCTTCTGTATGAGGCATCTTAGCATGGGATAACGCTCCAGGGGTTTCCTGTCTTTCATGGAGAAGCCCCCCACTGGTTTCTCCGCCCACTGCACGCTGCCTTTCCTTCCTTCCACTTTCTGGGAGAGGCCAAGAGACACGTTCTGTCCCTAGAGCCCAGTGATGGCCAAAACTACTTGGCGAACTCACTTCAGGAAGCTCATACCACCCCAAGCAAACCACCAGAGAGATAAAGAGTTAAAAAAAGCTAGAGAGAGAACCAACAGCATGCCAACCACAGAAACCGTGCAAGACAGGATACAGAGAGGTGTGTACGTGTCCAGACATAGTAGTCCATCAAGATAGGTAGAGCACGTTCAGACACATGATTCAGTAGTGCTACACGTGTCACGTCGAAAGACAAGAAGAGCCACACATGCCTACTATCAGGGGTGGAACTGGTACATAGAAACTGAACTTCAGTAAAAATATGGGTAATGTGTCAAAATCTTACTCAGTTAAAAGTAGATGTACAGAGTCAGAAATTAAATTGAGTGAAAGTCAAAAAGGTATCGATATTTGAACACACTCAAGCATGTACTCAAATCTATTTATTAAAGACTCGACATGGTCAGAGTTTATTCTTGGCACCGCTGACAAAAATGAAGATGGTGAAAAAATCTCTCCATTGAAATTGTAGATGATAACATCGGTGATACTTTCTGTGGGTCCATTAGCACATTTCTGTGTAGTTTAATTTGACACTAATGTGAATTTTATTGAATGCCTTAAAAAAGTTAGTGAAAAAACAACTGATAACAGCATAGCACTCTGCGTGAGTGAGAGAAAAATAGTGGGAAAACTCAGAGTATTTGAGGTTTAAATGCATACTTTAAAGATGAAAATGAACAGGTAAGTATACATTTTATTCCTTGTAAATTTACTTGAGTATCAGTACACGTATTTCATTTCAATAAAACTTCAGTGAAGGACAAATCTACCAAAAACAGTACTTAAGGTAAAATTGCTCAAGTATTTTCCACCACTGCCTATTATACACATTTCTCCCAGTAAGCTCCCACTTTTCAATGCTCATATATATTAAAAACAAAACACAAATCACACTGTCATACTAAACACCATCTTAATTAGAGGTGAGGGTCGAGGTCTAGACCCAAGATCATCACTAAGACGTGAAGTTATCCCTACTGTGA